TTGGATGAATGCATTCTTCGACTCTGCAATTAACTAGACCCTTTTCTGGACCACATTTAGCCTTTATCAATGACCCATTTAATCAAGGCCAGAACATGTTACTGGAAAATGATCAAAGTCTGAACAAGCTACTTCCAAGACAGATGCTACAAAATTCATTTGTACATAAACATGCAGATTTGAGCATCAAAATTAATTATTTAAGATTCTCATGGAGGGCAAAAAAGGGATATAGGTCTTAACAACACTGAACACAGCCAAAACCTTTTCTCTGTCGTCAGATGAGAAGTGCACATTTGCAAGGACATTATCATCTCCTACAATCTCAGCACCAATCACTTTAATGGCAAAATCAAGCCCCCCCAAGCCTAAAATAATCAATTAGGCCATTAAGAAGGAAACATTATTGCCTTCTTCTCTTGACATAGAAAATTGCTTCGTAATTTGAAATTTTGGAGGTTCAAGTGGCCCAAATGCCAAAACAACGTCGTTTTGGTCTTTTTTTTTTTTTTCCTCTCATTTCTCTCTAAAACAGAGAGGCGAGAGAAGAAAGAGAGGGGGAATAGAGAGGAGGAAGAGAGAAGAAGAAAAGAAGAGAGAGGAGAACATATAGAGAGATATATACACAGATTTATGTGTGTATACATAGACATGTGTATACACACAGAGGAGGGTTGCGATGGGTGATGGTGATGGCGGCGCCGGTGGGTGGAGGTGTTTGCGACGGTGATGGCGATGGGGAGAGTTTGTGACGGTGATGGCGGCGCCGATCGCCATCACGCCGGTGGGTGGAGAGTTTGTGACAGTGATAGCGGCACCAGTGAGTGGGAGTTCCCACTCTCTCTCTCTCTCTGTTTCCCCTTCCTCTTCTCTCTTCCTCCCTCTTTTTTCCTTCTCTTCTTCCTCCTCTCCTTTTCTCTTTCTTCTTTTTGTTTCAAAGAGAAAAAAAGAAAGAAAGAAAAAAAAAAGTGCCAAAATGACGTCGTTTTGACGTTTCGAGCCATTCGAGCTACCTAGCGGGATTGCTTAAGATATCAAAGTTTAGGGGTGCGGTGAGCATGTGTTTGTTTAATTCAAATTAGCACTAAAGCTTTATTTGGGACGTACTATTAGAATAACATAACTTTTTATCTTATTTAGGTCACATAAATTATTATTTAGGTCATATTACTTATCTATTACATTTCACATCTATTCGTAAAAACTCAAAAAGTATACTTATTTAGATCATTTCAAACAATTCCTAAATCTAGAACTGAACCAATGAGGTCGATTTTAGGTTTTTGGAACTTTCAAATTTCAATCCAATTTTTCATCGGAACCGAACTAACCAAACCCAATATAGATTGGGTTAGTTCAAGTTGCAATTGCAGTTTAGCTATATTAAAAATAAGTGAATCATTTATTTGAAAAACGTAGTTTCCATCTTACATCATTATAAATTATTTTAATTTTAAAAAATAAATAAATAATACACAAATCTTGAACATTTTTACACAATACAAATAATACAAGTCAACAATCCCAAACAACGATTTATATTCTGTTCCAATACAAGTATATGATGGTAAAACAAAAGAACAAGTTTGATTTGCTCTTTTGTTTTTTACAGGGCATGACCAAGTGGAACAATGTCCACCATAGTATTTATCTTTTCCTAATTATATGAAAACAACTTAGGATAAATACAATTTTAAGTAATTTATAAATAAGTTCAAATTTTGAGTTGGTTTGGTTTAGATAAGAACTGAACCAATTTATTCTTAATTTTAAGAATTAGAATCGCACCAAATATTATAAAAAACCGGACTAACAAACCATAGAAATCCGATTGAGTCGATTTCAATTTTTTTTGGGGGTATTTTGTACACTAGGAGAAGTCACCATCTTATTAGCTGGTAACCAAACATCAAAATTTCAGCTGTAAACAAAGACAATTCTGCCGTCAAATCATTTGCAGCTAATTCAATTTGCATATATATATATATATATATTCTGCATATTCTATATAAACCTATTTTCAATTAAACTTCAATTCAAATTTAATCTTGTAATTTCAAAATCTTCCTCTAAGTGCCGTTTTGGCAACAACAATAAAAAGCTGCGTTTTGCCATCACTCCAAAAACGCCAAGCTTGGCCAAAACGCTGAAATGGTGATTTGGGAAGACCCAAAAAAGCAACACTTAAATTTACCAAACTACCCTCTAGAACATTTTAATTAATTAATTCAAAAATAAAAAAGTAAAGATATTTTGGTCATTTTAGAGTGATGTGACACTTTTAAAAAATATTAAATCAAAAATAAAAAAAGTCAGCTTTTTACTAACTTTCCAAATCACTTTAAAAAAAGTCAAAAAACTTGGTAAAAAGCCAAAAGTCAGCTTTTTACCAACTTCCCAAAACACCCCTAAGTTGGTTAAAATCTTAACTTTAATTTTAGATTATTGTTTTCAATTAATTTCGAGACATTGCTTTTCATAATAAAACAGCATACTGATCTTATTTGGTTAAAAATTGAAGTTCTAAAATTTATTAAAAATTAAAATTTTAAAATTGCAAAGTTGAATTTGAATAAATTTAGGCTTAACCTTTGTTGTTGAATAATTTGAGGAAAAGTAATAGTTTTAAGTTATTAATTGCTAAAATTGATAGCTTAGGATTAAACTGACCTGATAGTTGAAGATTTTAAAAACTGTAATATATTGTGAAAATTGTAACACTAAAACTATTTAAATTTATTTGTTTACATAATAACAAAACTAGTGATTTTTGCCCACTTGATACGTGTACTGATAAATATAAAAAATAAAAATTTTAATTTTGATTTTAAAGCACACATGTGAAATGTCATATTGTCTCAACATCATTTCAAGCACAAAAAATTTACTATAATATATGTTGTATGCTACTCAAGTGATAAAAGTATTCTTAATTTTAATTTTGATTTTAAAATACACATGCGAAATGTCATATTGGCCATGTTTGGTAAGACTTATTTCTAACTTATTTTAGCTTTTAACTTAATTTAAACTATTTTGATATGTTTGATTCAGCTTAACAATACACTTGTAACTTTTTGTAAGTCAAAAATCAACTTATTCTTTGAGTGGGGGAGGAGAAACTTAATTTATATATAAAAAATCAGCTTATGTTCACAGTTATAAGCTATAAGTTGTTAGGCTATAAGTTATAATCAATTTTTCACAGCTCTACCCAACAGGATCATTATGTCAACACCATTTTAAGCACAAAAATTTATTATAATATATATTATATGCTATTCAAGTAATAAAAGTATTTTTGGCCAAATCTAACGTCTTATGTTCGAGTTTTTCCTTTATAATTTTTTTTTAATCGAGAAAAAAACAATAATTTGCAATATCATCATTACATCCGTAGATCGTGGTTTCAGAATAATTGATTGTCAACTAGATTTAATTCAATTCATAAGAAGAGATTCAGCCTCCGTTTGGGAAGTGGGTTGGCTTTTTGGCTTTTTGACTTTTTTGGCTATTTTAGCCTAGGCTTAAAAGTTTGGTTTGGGAAGGGCTTTTTGGCTTTTTTGAGTTTTTTTGTGAGAGAAGCCCAAATAAAGCCTCCGGATTCGGAGCCCCTTTCGGTGCATGACACCTTAGGGCTGATTAAGACTCCGGATTTAGAGCATCCTTCGTGCATATCACGATTAATATATTTCCATTCAATCATGTGGGGAACATTAATATGGGAATCAGTATTACTACCTTGAATTAACAGAGTTTATCTTTTGGACTTTTATGTAAACCTGTAATTCTTTTAGCAGGATCAAATGTCAACATTTTATGAACCAGATCAACAGCTAATGGATGGACATGTGGGAAAACCTTTGCACCTAAATATTTTATTTTGGGAAATTTAGGAAACCCTGACTCGGTGCCAAAAGGCCACGTGTCCGTCATCACCAAAGTTGCCTCGGCTCGGGAACTTGGATACGATTGGGGAAGGTCACTTCGTGAGCACCCCCGCTCGCCCGGTCATAGACCGGCCTCTACTAAAGTAGAGGTGGAAGTGGAGGTGGTGGTGATAGTAGTGGTAGTGGTGGCAGCAGTAGGAGGGTGGTGATGGTGGTATTTGTAAGACTTTTATCCTCTCCCACCCCAATCTTGGTTTCCCCCACCTCTACTTCTGAAGATACCTCCGCCATCCCCTATTTCGCCTTCTTTAACACTGGCCCTTTTGACCCTTGGCCAGCTGGCCATGGGGAGGGCCGGCCGGCCACCTGCAACTTAGATACCCAGCCGGCCATGATCCCCTCCTCTGGTACATTACAAATATGTATTTTGTTTCCCCCCAGATTGTGTATCCGGAGGGCCAACTTTTGGGGGGAAGTTTGAATTCCTTTCCCTCCTTTTTTCCCCCCCCTCTTTTGCCTATATAACAGCACCTCCAAATGGGGCGAATGGATTTTAGTATTTTGGACAAAAACTGGTCACATGTCTCATATACTCTACGCCAGCAAACCTACTCTTCTTGTCACAACACCAGCTTCTTTGTACATACTTGCTTTGCCATCTTTCTATGCTGTTTTGAGCTTAGTTTTCAACTACAGAAAGTTTTGATTTTTGAGCCTTAACATGTTGGTTTGAAGCCATTTTGTGCTAGGGGGTTGTCTACCCTTCTTGTTGCTTATTTGTGTGAGCCTTTGCACCATATTTTGGCTAATGTAATGATTATGGGTTGGATGTGATGTTTTGTTTGTTATGGCTAAAATAACCTATTTTATTTTTTGTGGCTAAAATAGCCAAAAAAACCTACAAACCCACTTGTCAAACACAGGCTCACTACTGCAACACCAATGAAACTCAATCACAGGTCACAGAAAAATCCAAAATCAATTGGAGTACAAGTTATAAATTAAATTTTATTCACACACTTATATAGCAAAATAAAATTTACCCATTTAATAATTGAGGTTTTTAAGAAAATCAAAATTTCAAATTGAAACCAGGGTGTCATTTTCGTTATTTCCCATGAAGTAGCAGGATGGTTACAACTCATGGCAAACTACCTCTACCTGCAATTAAAAAAATAAAAATAATAAAATAAAAAAGAATGAAAGTTTCCTATATGTTGCTGTTGCAGCAGCAAAATCAAACCCATCGATTCATCGTTTCCCCATCGTCACGCTACTCTCTCTCTCATCACTTTCTCTCTCTATAAATCTCTCCTCTTCTTCTTCATTTCTCTGTCTATAAGGTTTTAGGGTTAGGGTTGGAGTTTGAGAGAGACAGAGATGGGGCAACAGTCTTTGATCTACAGCTTCGTCGCCAGAGGAACGGTGGTTCTTGCTGAATTCACCGAATTCACCGGCAATTTCACGAGCATCGCTTCTCAGTGCCTCCAGAAACTTCCTGCTACCAACAACAAGTTCACCTACAACTGCGATGGCCACACCTTCAACTACCTCGTCGAAGACGGCTTCAGTCAGTTCCTCTTCCTCTGATTACTTCATTTATTTTCTCGTTTACTTTTTGCTGATCTATGTCTCCGTGATGTTATTTGATCTGATCGTAGTTTTAATTCATGCTTTCTTGATCAGATTCTATTATCTGCTGATTAAGTTCGTGACTTTGTACTTTTTTTTTGAAGTTGATTCTTTGATGCGCCGATTGGTTACTGAGAAAAGCTAGGGAAAATTGTGTGAGTAGAGTTTTTTGGATTTTTGTTTTCAGTTGTTTGGTTACGGAGAAAACGAATTAACGTACAATACATTAAATACGACTTCGAGATCAAATCTGATTTACCTTCTTCATATTTTTGCCCCAATTTGGTACTTAATTCCTTGATCTAAAGTATTTGTATCTTTAATTTCTCAAGCTTCTCTTCAAATGATAACATTGTTCTACATTGATCCGGTGGTGCTTATTCTGAGATTGATAGAATAGAGTTATGAGAGTCCACTTAGGAGACACTACTTACCTTCTAAAGTGTAGTACAGTATGTTGGAGTTTACATTTTTTTTTGGTATCAGTTGCTAATTTACTATTGATGTTGTTTTAGGCATCTGAGATCTGGGCCACTTAAATGTTGGTGTTAAGTGTTTTATCATTTGCTTGGTAATTGTTTATTTGTTAGAGATCTGCTTCGGTGGTCCAAACTAGAGAGTGCAGTCCGAGCAACGGTTGGTGCTATGCCAGCATTTGTTACAAATCAAAGCCCCAAATGTGAATCCGATCCAATATTGTGTGGGTTTGGGAGTGGGTGCGTAAATTTGGGGCTTTGATATATAAAAAATGTTGGCTTCGCATCATCTGGTTCTTGGAACTAGACTTTTCCGGTTCAGATCTGAATCGTAGACAAGCTGTTATCTACTTGTTAATCTAATAGTAACACATGCATGTGTGTGATTTCTTGGCATATTAGCCACCAAGGATCTCTTGTTTCAATAAATTAATTATTGAAAAAATTGAACTGCATTGGTATTGAGAGGAAATAGGGATACAAATATATTTAGTGAGATAACTCGTAGAAAGAGTTATGCAATGTGAATTAATTGTGGTTGGCCACGTGGCTTGTGTTTGATTTTGGTAACAAGTCCTGATATCCACTTTTCTTTCTCAAAATGTGGGGTTGGTCAATCCTCTTGTGTTGATATAATATGAACACGGGTTATGCAACTGATTTAGTGGGAGTTAGTTTTATGTTATGTTGTAAGTAATGAGCATCCTCATAGCTTTAATACAAATTTCACCAGGAGTATGATTCTTGTGCTTGTTGAAACACAAGCTTTGTTTTTATGTTTATTAGCTCCAGGTGATTTGGATGGGGTGTTCTCCATTTTGGATATATCACCTTTCTATTGTTGTATCAGTTATGTCTCCCAACCTAGGTACAGGTCTATAGTTTTCCCTAGCCTGAACATCTAAATGTTCGAGAATGGGTGGCAAATCAACAACTTTTATTGTAAGAATGTGCATATATATTTTTTTTTTGGTGTTTTGCTCCTTGTTCATCAACATGCTATTTGTAGTGTCGAATCTATAATAAGACACCATTTGTGTCAAATTGGAGATACGGACACAAGACTTTGGTTTGGATTTTGTTTGTAGTGTCAAATTGAAGGCATATCCACAATTCCATATTTCCAAATCTCTCTTCTGAAGGACAGATTCAAAGCAGTCCTGCGAATAGATTAGTTCATGGTGGATGCTAGATTTAAATAAGTTGAGGATTCACTTTGAACATATCTAATGCCATTTATTGAACTTGTTGTAATATTTTGATTGCTTTAACATGGATAATTATTTACATATGATGGTTGTTTACATGTACCCCAATTGTCTTTACAGTGGATGCCTCATTGTAGCTATTAAGGATGCAATTCATGCAAATAATATTTCTTCTTCTGCTTCTTTGATACAAGGTTTTTTTTTTTTTTTTTTTTTTTAATCATGGAATTTTTTTTTAATCATGGGAGACAGTTATTAGTTGAGTAGCATACAGATCAGAGTAGTTACATGTGTCCATGTGTGCTGCGTTCATTTGTATGCGCCCCTGGTTGTACGTAGATGTTTTAAGTTTTGTTGACCCATTGGTTGGTGGGGTAGTTTCCTTTTGGAAGTCTAAGCAGTTAATCAAACATACCATATTGTATTATAATACGCGACTAACTTGATTTTTTAAATCTTGCAGCCTACTGTGTTGTCGCTGTGGAATCTGCTGGCAGACAGATTCCAATGGCATTTCTTGATCGAGTTAAGGAGGATTTTACCAAGAGATATGGTGGTGGAAAAGCTGCAACAGCTGTTGCTAATAGCCTGAACAAGGAGTTTGGGTAATTGCCCTCCCTCTAGGCATATATTTTCTTTCGGGTAAAACTAAGTGTACCTTCTCTCTCATACATGTTTTAAATACTGAAATACAGACCCAAACTTAAGGAGCAAATGCAGTACTGTGTGGATCATCCAGAGGAAATCAGCAAGCTTTCCAAAGTAAAGGCTCAGGTTTCAGAAGTCAAAGGAGTGATGATGGAAAATATTGAGAAGGTAGGGAAAAACCAGTTTCAGTTAATGCCCAAAATACTGCCAATTGGTTTTCTTCTATGCACTCATTGAAAATAGTTTGTCTTCCAGTGCTGATCTCGAAGTTGAAAAAACTCATATGGTTTGGCATGAGAAAGTTTTGACTTTTGACTTTTGACTTGGCAGGTTCTGGATCGTGGAGAGAAGATTGAGCTTCTAGTGGATAAAACAGAGAACCTTCGCTCTCAGGTGAGTGGGTCCTAATACATATTTTCAAGGCTAAAATTGGTTAGTGTTTTCCAAATATAGCTTATGAGTTGAATGGCCTTAAATTTACTAACTAGTAAAAGTGGTGTATTTGAGGTAGCTGGATGGCATTTCTTCAGCCCCTTTGATGTGGTGGGATAACCAGATTTGTTTGGATTTGAAATATTTACTAAATCTACACCCTGATCCCCTCTTTCCAGTGTTGTGCAGTCATTATCCCGTTTGCTTTCAAAATGTCATGTCACATTTCTGATCATTATATGGGGATGTGTGAATATTAAGTGGCACCACCCATTGCTTTCAAAATTTAATGTAACATTTCTACTCATCATTATCTGGGGATGTAATGCAAATATTGAACGTCACCACATTGCAGGCACAAGATTTCAGGACCCAGGGTACCAAAATGAGGAGGAGGATGTGGTTGCAGAATATGAAGATAAAGCTTATAGTTCTCGGAATCCTAATTGCCTTAATTTTGATCATAGTTTTATCGGTTTGTGGTGGCCACAAATGTCATTAGTCAATGGAGCAAGCTTCACGTGTTTTGGTTAGGATGATCGCTAATCAATTGCTGGTGCTTTGGTTAGGATGATCATTAATCAATTTGCTGGTGGCCTGCCAGTAACATTCCTTGTGTTTGTTTACCTATAATTTTTTTTTTTGTTTACCTATTTTTTTTTTTTTTTTTTTGGTGATACATTACCACCCTTACGTTATATTTTGTATTCTACGACAATGCCTGTATAGCTTGTGCTCCTGGATTCATTTGATACTAGTAAAGAGTCTTTTGATGTGTGAAAGTTGGTCTTGATATCTTTTTTCTTATTTTTTCTTTTTTTTAAACATTATGTTTGGATTCAGTAATTTGGAAAGAAAAGAAAAGAAATTGAGTGCCATTTTGGGAACATGGTAAAAAGCCACGTTTTTGGACAAAATGTCCAAAAACGTGGCTGCCAAAAACGCCAAAAAAGTCATTTGGCAAGTGCCAAAAACGCAGTCCTAAAATTACAAATTAGGGCCTATGAAAAATAAATAAAAAAATAACTCTCTTATGTTAGGTAAAGGTATTTTGGTCATTTTAATTTGATTTGACACTATAAATAAATATTAAACTAAAAAGCAAAAAGTCAACTTTTTACCAACTTCCCAAATCACTACCAAAAAAGCCAAAAAACTTGGTAAAAAGCCAAAAGTCAGCTTTTTACCAACTTCCCAAAACAACCCTGAGAGGTATATATTTTTTCTACTTGTTTGGATAATTTAAGTGAAAAGAAATGAAGAGACTTGTTTTTTTTATAACTCTCATTTTTAATCTTTTTAAAAGTAGAGAAATGGAGAGGGAAAAGAAATTAATAAATTCTTATATTTTTTATAAAGCCATTTGGCAAGTGCTAAAAACGCAGCCCTAAAATTACAAATTAGGGCCTATGAAAAATAAATAAAAAAATAACTCTCTTATGTTGGGTAAAGGTATTTTGGTCATTTTAATTTGATTTGACACTATAAATAAATATTAAACTAAAAAGTAAAAAGTCAGCTTTTTATCAACTTCTCAAATCACTACCAAAAAAGCCAAAAAAACTTGGTAAAAAGCTAAAAGTCAGCTTTTTACCAACTTCCCAAAACAACCCTGAGAGGTATATATTTTTTCTACTTGTTTGGATAATTTAAGTGAAAAGAAATGAAGAGACTTGTTTTTTTTATAACTCTCATTTTTAATCTTTTTAAAAGTAGAGAAATGGAGAGGGAAAAGAAATTAATAAATTCTTATATTTTTTATAATACCAATTTGTCCTTAAAAATAAAAGAAATAAAATGATTGACAAAATATAAAAATATTATTTTAATAATATAATATAAAATAGTTTCTTTTTTTTTTCTTATGAAATTTGACTAAACAAGGGAAGAAATTATAATCGTTTCTTTTCTCTTCTCTTCTCTTACAATTTAAGTAATCATTTCTTTTCTTATCTCTCATATGTTTCCATAACTGAGCCAATGTTCTCTCCTTGCAGTCTCGTACTTGCGCTCGTCCTTGCGAGCCTTTGAGTCTACTTTTAGGCCCAATTTTAATAATCCGAACCGTTCATATTTTATGATTTATTTAGTATATCATACCTGTAAAAAATCAAGTTGATCGGATATCAGAAAGCATATGTTCATAAAACTGTTTATTAAATTCTTTAAAAAATAGTTTTTAGTTCAATTTTTCGAACACATACTTTCTGATATCCGATCAACTTGATTTTTTATAAGTACGATATACTGAATAAATTATAAAATATGAACAGTTCAGATTATCAAAATTGGGCCTAAAAGTAGACCCGAAGGCCTACAAGGACAGGCGCAAGTACAGGAGCTGCAAGGAGAGGATCCTCATTCTCCATAACTTACCTAGTTTAAGTTACAGAAACCACCTATAATTACCTCACCGATTCCGAGTGCTTTCTCCAAATTGGACAACCATGCACACCTACTAGAAACATTCATCAAAGAAATGCCTCATGATAGACATCCAAGTATGTCTTGAAATCGCAAATTCAAATCACCGTAATGGAGCTCTTTTTTTCAGAGGGATGCCAGGGGGATTCTCATGACAGCAATGTTTTAGCCGCCTTTATCTATGAAATCTAAACATAAACTTCATAACATGTATCTACCAAGAAAGAATCATTGATGAAGATGACTTATGAAGAGTCAGCAAAAAGAATGATGAAACCTGTGGATAATATGCAAGGCATGATTTATTTCATTCGGCTCCTGTGTTAACAATTGGTAGGGGATACCGTGCTTGTGTATTCCAAGCATCGTTTACGCTGCTGCCCATGTTTACACAGGCTGTGTACAAAACTGAACACACACACACACTCAGACATTGATTTCCAAGTTGTCAATTAGTCTGACCTTTCCAAACCAGGCAGCAACACAAAACACAACCGCACCTTTAATCTCATCCACAGCTTCCAAACTTTCTTGGTCTACAATCTGTTTGCCAGAATGGGAGACATTAAGATCGACAATACACATAATTTTTAACAAATTTGTTCTAGAAAAGATAATCTTTGCGAGCAGGGGTTTTAAAAAAAAGGAAAAAAAAAAAGAAGGGAAAACCTGTGGTAAGCTACAAATCCAATTCCACAATGTATTCTCAAATATGCACTATTATGGTCAAAACAGAGGCTACAGCCCTTCAATTTTTTTGTTGGACTGCATTAGCATTAACACAATTTCCTATCATAATCAATGGGGCACAATATTAAAGCAAAAGTCAAAAAGCACCCCTTCCTCAGTTTTTAGGTAATCAATTTTTTTAAGGCTTATTTAAGCTATTTTTTTTATTACAAGCTATAAACAATTGCACCAAACACTACAGACTCCAAAAAAACAAAAAAAAGAAGCTATAAGCAGCCTCTATAAGCTGCACCAGACAGTCCCAAAGTTAATTGAAATGTAAATTATTCTTATATCTGACTTGAAAAGTCAAATACACCCTTCAAAAACTACAAAATGACAAGCTGTTCACAGTACTTCGGTGTTGGGAAACTTGCAACAGGAATTCAAATTTAAAAACAGGGATATTATGTTGGTGGTCCAAGGAGGTCTCAACAACAATTCCTCAAACCAATAGTTGCACAATACTGGTAGCAAGAGATCTTAACAATTTAATGAATTGGAACTAAGCAACCTCGAAATGAGAAGAGGCGATTTACTGGCTTCGTTTGGGAAGTTGCTATTTTAGTAGACTATTTTAGTTTTTGGCTATTTTAGTAGGCTAAAATTTTTGTGTTTGGGAAGATGATTGAATTTTTTTGTGGTTGGATGTGATGTTTGTGAGAGAAAAAGTGAAATGATTATGGGTTTGATGTGATGTTTTGTCTTATTAGCTATTTTAGCCTATTTTGTCTTTTTGTGAATTTTAGCCTAAACTAGGCTATTTTTTTTCTTGCTATTTTCTGGTTTACATACACCTAGAGGTAACATCTTCCCAATATTAGCCTAATTCCTCTTTAAATCTGTCTCTTGCAGTAGTAAAATTCTTGGTTTTTAATATATTAAAGATATACTTTCTCCCTCTCTTCCATTGCTGAACATCATGTATATAATATATACATATCACTGGGGAGTTGCAGAATCACAACACTCTCTCGGCTGATTACACCGTGCAACATGTTATAAAGGAACAATCTTACTGGTATGCCCTATATGTTTCTTCACCATATTTCATTGTGTTTGACTACTTCCTCTCAAAATTGTGTTTCATTATAGAAAAGTTTTAATGTAGTTACTACTTATCACTTACTAATTTTGGATGTTCGACTATTTTATACTGTAAATCTGGTTGTGTTAGGCATTTGAAAAGTTGTGTTTATGTGATGCCATATATAAAGAGCGACTTAGTGCATGAGACTCGATCTAAAGCTGGGTCAAGGGATACATATAAATATATAATATAACTAGTCTTAATCATAGTACATGTGAATCAGGTTAAGAAATATGTGAAAGAAACATATAGATGTTTCACATCTCACCTCAGCATAATCAATTCTTCCACCAGCTTCTAGTATTGCTATGGTGACTGAATTCTTCAACACCGTGCAATTAACTAGACCCTTTTCTGCAGCACATTTAGCTTTTGACAATGATTGATTTATTGACAAGGCCTGCGGGATAGTGTACATAACAAGGATAAGACGTTCTGGGAGATGATTTTTAAATTTATTTATTTATTAATTTTCACAAAGGAGGTTGGTAAGCACAATTTTATGTAAAAATGATCAAAGTTTGAATGAGTTACTTCAGAACAAATGATACAAAAAACATTTATATATAAACAATAAGTTTTGAGCATCAAAGTTAAATTATTTGAAATTCTCATGGAGGAAAATAAAAAAGGATAGATCATAGCAACACATAACACATCCAAGACCTTTTTCCTGTCTTCAGGTGAGAGGTGCACATTGCGGGAGCTCATTGCAAGTCCATCATCATCTCGTACCATCTCAACACCAATCACTTCTATGGAAAAATCAAGATCCCGAACCTGAAAGAATCAATTAGGCCATTAACAAGTCATAAGGTCACCATCTTATACTGTAAATCAATTAGGCATAAGGTCACCATCTTATAAGTTTGTAACCAAACATTGGCATTCAACTGTGCTAGTCCAACAACAATCATCAAACAAAAAAAGGAAGAAGAAGAAAATCATGCCTTCATTTGCAGACGGTTCAGCTCGCATCTTTTATACATGTTTTGGGTTAAATAAGAAATCTGTTCTATATATATACTTTTCTTGGCCTTTTGGCTCAAATCAATACCATATAAATATGTATCATATATTTATAATAATCTTATGTGGTGAATATGTAAAAAGTAATTGAAGATAAATATCTGAATATTTAATTATTGATCTCATTTTTCATTTCACAATCAAATGAAGATAATCGATCAAAACCATTATGGTCTTGGATGTGAGGCTGTGAGCATGTATTAAGCAATCCAGTGAAACCAAAAAATGTGATTAGCTTTAACCAGAGACTGAATAAATCCAAATCCAATCACAAAGTTCAACGTCTGTAAGTTAATTTTTTGTAGGGTTAAGTGATAATCTACATAGGAAATTAAAAACAGAAAAGAAAGAAAGAAAGAAAAATCATACAAGTGAACAACTCAACCAGAAGAAGAAAACAACCCCACATTTGCACTAAAGGTGTGAACCATCTTCCACAATTCACTTAACCCTCAGTCAATCTTAGCGTAGTGATAATACATAAATTTAGATCACCGATCTAAATAAAAGCAAATAACACATTCTGTATGACTTATAACTGTAAATTTTGGGGTATGATGAATTCTCTGAAACAAATGGATTTGACATAAGAAAAAAAAATCTTTAACTAATGTAATACTTTTAGATCTAGATTTCAAAAATGAATTTGAAATAACTGGTTAAACATAGTTATTTGAAATCCTTTCATCAATAATTCAACTTATACAATAATCTTAACAAAAGGCATCTCTCAAATCTCTACACAATTCCCCACTTTGCGATTATCAATCTACCTTTAATAGTTAATCTTCCTTCATTTTATTAAATTCAATCTCAAATCCCTTCATTTCAAATCTACTCATCCAAATGCAACCATATAACAGAAAAGAAAGAAAATCACAACAAAAGTGAGCATGCCTTTGGGTGATATAATCCAACAAACTGAAAAATAATCAAAATTCTTGGAAAAAAACTCACCATTCGCCTTATAATTCGCCATTGCTGGTAATCCTTCTTGCCAAAGAAAGCAAAATCAGGGTCAACAATATTGAACAACTTGGAGACAACAGTAGCAACCCCTCTAAAGAACACAGGCCTACTCTTCCCACACATACCCTTTTCCAATCTCTCAACCCTAACCCAAGTTTCATGCCCCAATCCCCTCTCCTCCAAACAGGACACCACCCCTTCCCCTCCCTCTTTCTCTCTCCTCACTTCTCTCTCTACCCCATCCCCACAACCACTGCTCCCATAATCATACAAATTGTGGGGGTGAAAGACAACATCAACACCACCAGGAACAGACATGAGCTTCTTGATATCACCATGGAAATCAGATGGGTATGTGGAGAGGTCTTCAGAGGGAGTAAACTGACCTGGGTTGACATAGATTGAGACCACTGTGAGGTGGGTTTGCTTGTGGGCTTCTCGGAGGAGTGAGAGGTGACCCTCATGGAGGTAACCCATTGTGGGGACTAACCCTATGGTCTTGCCCTGAGCTCTCATGGACCTTGACCATTGTCTCATCTGGCTTTTGTCTCTGATTATCAGTGGCTCCTTAGCTTCCATTTGGAGATTCTGGGTTAGGATTGGGTACTTCTGTATCTCAAATCAGTTCTTAAAGAATTGCAAGATTGTTTTTTTATTCTTTACGCAAAAAGAGGATTGTGAAAATGAAATGGATCGATTGAAATCAGAATGTTGAAAGAGAAGTAGCAGAGAAAGGTGAGAAGTTTTGTGATATGATTGATGAGTTTTTTTAGTGAAATATAACGGATGAAGATGGCAAACACTGCTCAACATCTTTGACCGGGGCGGCGTGGAATTTTATTTATTTATTTATTTACTATTACATCTCATTTTTTTTTTTTAAAATTCAATTGTCTCGATCTCGATGATATGGATCATATATTTTGTAAAATATGTTAAAATATCAATCATGTAAAAATTAATAAATTATATATTAATAATTGCATGATTAAATTATATTTATATAAAAATATATAAAGTTTATTTTAAAATTTATATTTGCTTTCTAAATTTTTTAATTAATATCCAAACAAATCTTATTAATTGACCTCCACAAGTTTTGAAGTGAGATCTATTAAAGGCCAATAAAATTTATTGTGCATTGGCCATAGTTACGAGTGTAAAAATAGCTCGCGGTTCATGAGTGGTCTGAAGTGGGTTTGGTCTGTTTAGGCCCGTTTGAGTTTGGGCTTGGGCTATCAATCTTATTAATTGACCTCCACAAGTTTTGAAGTGAGATCTATTAAAGGCCAATAAAATTTATTGTGCATTGGCCATAGTTACGAGTGTAAAAATAGCTCGCGGTTCATGAGTGGTCTGAAGTGGGTTTGGTCTGTTTAGGCCCGATTGAGTTTGGGCTTGAGCCTTGGGCTTGGGCTATCATTTTGAAGCCCGCCATGTGGATCTGACTCGACGGTTCGATTAAGACCCACTCAAGACGCAACTCGAGGCCCAGTGTGTCTTTAAGTGAAAAATAATAAAATTTTAATAGAAATTTTTTTTTAAAAAAAAAATGGCCAAGCCCAGCCCACCTCATGCCCAAGGCCCTAATATCCTTGGATAAGCCGACCCAAATTTTGCTTGGAGCCCGCGAGACTCGACATGGGCTGAGCCAAATTTATTACACCTCTAACCATAGTAGATATCTAAATTTGAGAAAAAAATATTGATTATAACGGTGGTACCACTTTCGTGGTGTAAGTGATTAATAGCAAATCGCAAATGCATTAAGTAGTCAACTATTGTCTCTAACTAATCTAACAATGTTATAATTCTTACTACAAATTAATAATAGTCATTGAATAATAATACCGTCACATAATACTATCGTTACATTTAGGGGTTGTTTGGGGTGTCCTAAATAAGTGCACTTTTTATTTTTTTAGACTAAAAAGTTGAGGTTGAAAATATGAATGGTTGAGTTAACTTTTTGACTTTTATGAAGAAATGTGTATTAAAAATTTGTATAAATTAATGTGTAGGGATAGAGGAAAATTAGAATTGAGAGTTATGTAGCCGTAATTGTTGACTTTTGGTGAATAGTGATGACTTTTTAACTTTTTGAGTAATTTTTTGACTTTTTGACTTTTTTGAGACTTCCCAAACTTGGCCTTAATATTTACCCCAAATACCAACGGCTTTGGTGCCCATATGAAAGCTTTTTACAATAAAATTTTATATAAATTATTAAATTTTATAAGTATGTTTTAATAATATAATAAAGGATAAATTACAAATACACTTTTTGAGATTTTCTTAAAATACAGATTGCTTTCTGTGATTTGAAAAATTACCAATACTCCCTTATTAGAATTTTTTATTTAACAGAATTAATTAAAAAAATAAAATTCATAATCGCTCTCCTATACAATAATAAAATTATCTAAATTATTAATTAAACATGTTTTTAATATTATTAAAAATTATTAATTGACTTTATGATTTATTAATAAAATGGACGATTTGTGATGAAATTAGAAATCTTAAAAATAAAATGTAATTTTTAAAACTATAAAGAGCGATTCATATTTTAATTAAATTTTAGAAAATGTATTTGTAATTTTTCCTATAATAAAAGTGAGATAGGGATGGAATTTGGAATTTAAAATATAATTCACTTGGGGGCAACTCATTTGAATAAAAAAACATTTATTAATACATCACTCGAGGTATGGTAAAAATACAAATTCCCCCCTGAGGTTTGAGAAATTACAAATTGTCCCCTGGAGGTCAAATTTGCATAATAAATTAGGGGGGAATCTGTATGAAAATAAAAACCTCAGGGGGTAATTTGTTATGGAAATATAAACCTCAGGGGGCGGGATGTAATTTCTCAAACCTCAGGAGGGAATCTGTATTTTCACCAAACCTCGAGGGGTGTTTGTAATTTGCCCTTTGATTTTCAAACATGGTTGCCGCCGCAACGTCTTCGATGACTTTTAATTTTATTTTTTTTTAGCAAACATGTAATTGCAAAGGATGTTGATAGAAAGTACGCTCCGTTTGGTAACCCTTTTAAATTATAATTTCGCCTGTTGATTTAAGTGTAATATTTATTTTGAGTTTTTAAATAATAATTTTACATTTATTTCTTAAAACTCAATTCAAAACATAATCATTACTTTTCAAAACTTATAACTAAACGTATAATTCAATTTTTTTTTTCAAAACTCAATTCAAATCAATATTTTAATTTTTTAAATATTTAAATATGTTAAATTTTTTTAAATTTTTAAATTTTTTAAATTTTTTTAAATATTACGATTTTAATTTTAAAATATTTTATAAAAATAAATTCAAACTCTATTTTATAAAAATATTTTTAAATATTTTAATTTTTTTTGTTATGTATTGTTATGTATTTGGTTACGATTTGAATGTAAAATTGTGAAAGTAGTATAAAATTTTTAGTTATAGTTTGGTTATGAGTTTTAAATATAATTTCTTAATTGAGTTTTGTTTGATGTGTTTGGTTACGATTTGAGTGTAGAATTGTTTTAAAATTTAAATTTTATATTATTTAAATATTTATGATTTAAATTTTTTGAATATTTATTTTAATTTTTTACTTATTAAATTTTTTAGATTATTTAAATATTTATGATTTAAATTTTTTGAATATTTATTTTGAAAAAAAATTATTTCCTTTGTAGTATTTTCAATTAACAAATTGATTAATGTTATTTTCTGTTAATAATAATTTTTTTAAGACCATCTCCAACGGTGAACCAAACCCAGCATCAAATTCAAATTTTGATGAAAAACTTACTTTTCAAGCTCCAACCGTTGCACCAGATTGATATCAAAATGAGATTTCAGCAAAAAAAATATCAAACTGAGAACGAGATACAGATTTTACCAAATCACTGTTACTGACCGTTGAAAGAGGTACACCGGTCAACCAGCCAGTTGCCCGGCCGGTTGACCAGTAAAAGATTCAAACAGTTTAGGAAAAAAAGTTCAAACCGTTAAAAAATATATATATATATATTTTGCCTAACCGGTCAACCGGCCGGTCGACCACCCCGGTCGTCCTGAAAAAGTTCAGAAAGTTCAAAAAAAAGTTCAGACAATTCGCAAAAAAAAAAAAAAAATTGCCTAACCGGTCAACTAGCCGGTCGACTATCCGATTGTCCCGGGATAGATTTGGTAAAAGGTGAACCGTTGAAGCGAGTGGTATCAAATTTAGTGAAATGGGTCATTTTTAACTCAAATTTGGTGAAAAATTTGAGTCACCGTTGGAGATGCTCTAAATTAATTTTAAATAGAGTTTGGTTATGCGTGTTGATCAGAATTTTCAATAGTGTGAAAGTAGTGTGTTTTGTTATGAGTTATAACAATTTGAATTAAGTTTTGAAAACTCTTTTCAAAACTCATAACCAAATAAATTTTTTTACTTCACATGTCAAATCAAACTTTTAAAACTCAATTCCACATACAATTCAAAACTCAATTCAACACTATTAAAAAACCATAACCAAACAAATTTGGAAAATTTGACAATAAACCCCCTTTATCTTCTTTTCATTGTTAAAAGGGCTAAGAAAAAAATTATACTTTCTAAACCCCCTCATAATTATAAAATCTTACATAAAGGACAAAATTTATTATTTAAATATTTTATTAGACTACTATACCCTCAACTAAATTTTCTCACCTTCTCCACCCACTCTCTCTCCATCTTCTCTGTCTTTCTCCTCCCTCTCTCCCTTCTCTAACTCCTTCAAGCTTCAGATCTGGAAGCTTCAAACCTCGCCAACGCCGTCGGCGTCCGATCCTCTTCCGTCGCTCCCTCTGGAATCGAGCTTTGATTCAACAGGTTAACGAGAATCACCAGTCGAAGATGCCTGACAATCTCGTCAAGAACGTTGTCTTAATTCGAGAGATCAACAGTAATATATCCAAAGTCATATCTCTCTACTCCGATCTTTCCGTTGATTTCTCCAACATCATTCAGCAACGACACGCGATCAACAATGACGACCACATAGAGAAAAGTGCTAGTGAAGTTGTTTGGTTATACATATTTTTTTAAACACAGATTTGAGTTTTGAATATATGTATGTATATATATATTTGTGTATATAAGTGTTGTTGAACACATGTATTCTTTTCATTGAGATTTGTGATTGTTGATCGAGTTTTAGAAGTTTTTCTTTTCAATTAGATATTTTGATTTGTTGATTAATTTGTTTTTTTGTTTGTTTGTTTGTTTTTTTTTTTTGAATTATTTTTGTTGTTTTTTATCTAATTTTGTTTGACAGAACCAGGGTAAAATTTTACTCTGGTTCTATTGCTCTGTTTTTTGTTTCAGATAATGAGAGTAAAATTTTACTCTTATTCTATTGCTCTGTTTTTTGTTTGAGAGAATTAGAGTAAAATTTTACTCTGGTATTAGAATGACAATAAAATTTTACTATCAAGAGGTGGTCATTGCCAAACACTTCAGCCGCCACAAACACTGCCTTCTCTTTTTTACTTTTGTGCAGAGTAACATTTTAATTTTAGCTTCAGAGTCTCACAATTTACTCATTTTTTAGAGTAAAATTTTACTTTTATACATAGTAAAAATTTACTTTTGTGTAGAGTCTAACATTTTACTAGTTTTTCAGAGTAAAATTTTACTTTTAGTTTTAGAGTCTCACAGTTTACTCGTTTTCAGAGTAAAATTTTACTTTTATACAGAGTAAAATTCTACTTTTAGCTTCACAATTTCACAGTTTACTCGTTTTTCAGAGTAAAATTTTACTTTTATATAGAGTAAAATTTTACTTTTGTGTAGAGTCTAATATTTTATTAGTTTTTCAGAGTAAAATTTTACTTTTATACAAAGTAAAATTTACTTTTAGTTTCAGAGTGTAACATTTTACTCTGAAATACATAGTGAAGATGGCTTAATAGAAGAGTTGATAGATATGAGGGTAATATAGTAAAAGAAACAAGTTTTAAAATATTATGGGGTTTTAAAAGTACTTATATAATTCTTGTCATTTTGAAAGACAAATTAGATAGTGAGGGGGCTATCACCAAATCCCCTAACAAATTTTCTACACTCAAATCATAACTCCATAACTTACAAACTCAAAATACAACTCATACTCTCAAATCATATTTACAAAACTCTACCAAACGTAACTTATGTGTTTGGTTTAAGTTTTCTGGATTAAGTTTTTTGAAAACTGAGTTTTCTGGTTTTCGTCTTTTTATTTTTATTTTTAGTGAATATTGTTAAAATTTTAAACATTTTTTTACTTTTTTAGATGCACCTTACTTAGATATATCTAAAAGTAAAAAAATTGTGATTTTTTTTTTAAAAAAATTAATAAATACATAAAAATACAAAAAATGTACTGAATTCTCGTATTTTTTTTTTTATATTTTTGGTATTTAGTAAATTTTTAAAAGTTTTTTTTTACAATTTTTTACTTTTTAGGTGTATTTATGTTAGGTGTGTCTAAAAAGTAAAAAAATTACTTAAAATGTTAAAAAAATTCAGTAAAAACAAAAAAAAATATGAAAAATAAAAAAATAAAATTTTTTGAAAACTGTTTTTGAAAAAATAGAACCAAACATCAATTCTAATGCACCAAGGATCCTCTAGAGTGAAATTTCTCTAAAGTTTCCTAGAGTACTATATTGTGTGGTTGAGATTTACTGGCAAGTCACATCAGAAAAATTGATGTGACTTGTCAGTAAATCTCAACTACACAATGTAGTACTCTAGAAAATTTTAGGAAAAAATCACTCTAGAGGATCCTTGCTCATTCTAATGATGTGATAATATATAATAAAATTAAATAAAAATATAATATCATAAATCAAAACATCAAATCAAAAGATGAAATCATGTTTAAAGCTCTCACTAGAATTACTTATTTAGACGTCTCAAACATTTTTGAATTAAAAATTCTAAAATAATAATTTTATTATCTAACATTTTTCCCATTCTAAAAGCAGTCAAAGAAATGAAAGCGAAATCCAATTTCCAATCACAACTCCTGAAATCCTATGTACATATAAATTTACATTATTACCCTTCTCGGCCCAAGACTAATTTACATTTAATGGCCCAGGCCCAATATTTTGAGCACGTATCTAAGAAATCAAATTAACAGGCCAACTGGTCTCTAATTGTGGATATCTCTTCAAAGATTGGAAGCCTTTTTGATCTCAAAGGGGCCCATTCATGCAGCAACCTCTCAAGCCCATCAACAAAATCATCGCCCCTGTCAAGGCCCATCACGTCTGATAACAACGACGGAGGCAGTGCATCAACATAATTATCGTCCACATCAAGGCCCATTACGTCCGACAGCAACGGAGGAGGCTGCAGTGATTCTAATTCCGACAACAGTTCCTCGGCTCGGTTTCTGGACTTGGGTTCATCAGAGCCTGCAAGTCTGGCCTGCAAAACATCCTCGAGAACTGAACGTGCCTCGTCGTATCGGGCCTGCTTGATCAGGCAGAGTGCCAAGTTGCAGGCCTTGTTTGTGTCTGGATCAATCATTTGGGCTTTCTTGTATACCACCTCGGCTGCCATGTAATTGGGCTTTTGCATGTAAGCCCAGCCCAAATTTCCCTACCACAATCATGAATTGATTAGATTAGTGAAAGTTATTAGCGTATGCGTCTTTTAAAGAAAGTTGGAATCCTTTATAACTAGACTAATATTTAAACTCGTGTTTTGTTATTAATTACATACAATTTGCCACATGTTTTGTCACCACTTAAATGGGCAATTCAGATTGTTGTCGAGTAATTATTTACTAATTGCGAAGCTCTAACTTAGCACATTAACATGATACTCTTAAATCAATAACGTTGTGTTTGATTGGGAAATTCAAAAAGAAATTTGGAAAGAAAAAGGGAAAATATAAGTGAAATGTAAATAAAATATATTTACATTTCACTTAATTTCATACATTTTTTTCTTATCTCTTTCCAAATTCCTTCCTAAATTCTCAAATCAAACACAGTGCAAGAGTAATAATCACTGAATAGATGGAGCTGATTGATCAATCAATTAGGTAAGAGACGAGTCAACTTAATTTAACTCTTTTTGCATAACTTGATCGAGATTAGGGATGGGCACGGGGTGAGTTTGGGATGGGTTTGTCATCCCCCGCTCCCCCTCTCCAACCCCAACCCCACTATGGATGAAATTTTTCAACCCCATCCCCGCCCCTACAAATTTCTAATACCCGTACATTCCCAACCACATTTTAAATAGTCAAAAAAATAAATTCTTAACACACAATTTCTTTTATTTCCATATATATATATAGTAAAACTTTTAAGATTATTATTTATTTATATTTAAACAGAATTACAGACGTTTAGTATTACTTTCTTATATCTAATTATATTTTATATATATACATATATATTATTTATTTATATATGTTATTAATTATATCAGATTGAATTTAGATCAGGGAGGCGATATCTGCTCCCATCGCAACCCAACCACACCTCCATTGCGGATGACAAACATATAATTCACTCCCGCCCCTGCGGGTTGGGTAAAAACTGCCCCATTCAGGCTGCTATGGACAGATTCTCGCGGATCAGATTAAAATAATCATCCCTAATCGTGATCGTGCAGCAACACTGTCTGGGATTAGGCAGTGGTAAATAAACACAAAAACCATAGATGTTAGAAGTTGGAAGTCAGTAGAGCATGCATACCAGTAATCTAGAAGTTTCTTGCTTGACGGAAACCTGGAACTTCTTGCCATGAGATCGTGCGGTTTTTGTCGGTTTTCCATTGAAAGCCTCTCCTTGATATATCAACCTAAGCTTCTGCTTTAGCAGTGCTATTTGTTCATCTACCTTCCCACATTTCTACATTAACACATCCCCAATGATTAATCACTCATTAATCAATTATTCCGATTGAATGTTCATATTACACACTTAGATGAGACAGTGTACGAGATTCCTGTTAAAATAAAATTTAGAGAGACCATATATATATTTACATGATCTAGTGATATGATTATCAGTGTTTGTAAGTACATTTAGTGTGCATGCATGCATGGCCATGCATGCATTTTATAGCATGTACCTTGTATAAGTCGATGAGGACATTATCAAGTGAATCTTGGGATAGTTTGGAGCAAAGACCTCTAAAAGACTTGATAGCTTCAATGGCCTCTTCAGTTCTATCCAATTGCTTCATCACCACTGCCATGTCCTTAAGGGCACTGTCAACTCTATCTCCTCCGTTTATTGCCTTCCAAAACCATACTACTGCTCCTTCCAAATCCTTCTGCACTAGCTGATGATTCAATTCTCAATCATATTAGACCAAAAAAAAACCCAAAATTTTTAATCCAAATTTGAATATATAATGAATTTGACTCTTATATGTTTGGTCTTTGTGTTCCTAGTATTGCTGCTGAATAAATAAAGTGAGAATAATGAACTTATTATCATAGGTTAACTTCACTTTGCCCATGATTATACAATTAATGTGAAAGAAAAGGATTACTTAATGAGATGCTTATTATCATAAGATTAGTGTCCTTTGAGCAATGATTTGTGGTATTGTTTCAAATAGATTTGAGCCATTCATTTTGAATAGTCTACATCAAATAATTTTTTCTTTGTCATATATAGATGAAGTTAACCCAAGGATTAATTATAGTGCTTGGGCTTCAAGCGAGAACATTATGAATAAGAGCAACTTCAATCATTAACTTAATAATAGTGAAAGTGAATTGTTACAAGGGGGGCTTGGATATGTAGTGATTTGTTTGTCTGATTCTACTAGACAATAGAAAAGTTGTTATTAGAACTTGAAGAAGTAAATCAATGATAATAACACTACAAATGTAAATGCTTCACTGAATTGGGGTTATATATATATATATATATATCCTTTGATGATATTTATAAATGGGTTTGGGAAAATAGCTATGTTTTGATTCACAACTAAATTAAACTTTTTGATTTAAAATATATTCGTTTTTTGGTATTTGTTTAAATAATTGACCAGGATTCTCTGCAATAATTCATCTTGCGATAATCCTTGCTATTGCAAGGCTAGTTTTAAAGCGTGTTTAATAGTGATTTAAAGATGATTTATAATTAATTGAGTAGTCCAATTATTATAAAAGAATCTTACAATTGTATTATAAGAATTATTGTAAAAATATTATTGTAGAGAATCATATTTACTAACGTGTACTTCTTTTTTTTCCTTTAAATTACATTGAATTGATAATTCTCTTTTTGAGATTTTGTGATGCTGATATACTTAATTGATTCGATCTTTTATCAATTTTGCAATGAAATTTTTTTTTCCATTCTAAAAAAAAAAAAATTACACTAAATTGTAATTTCCCCAGCTAACTACACGTTGACCAAACGATCTTTAAAAGGAAAGAGATTCCTTCAATTTTTCTGCCTCTTTATCTCAAAATATTTAAATCTATTAAATTATATTTTTAAATGATCTCATCTTAAACTTTCTAATAATTATTATTTTGAAGTTGAGGAGCATAAAGAGATATAGATTTAGAGAAAAAAAAAAAAAAAAACTTTTAGAAACTGAGATGGATAAGTTTGAAGAAAGATAAACTTTAATGTTGTGTTTGGTTGGGTATTTTGGGAGGGATTTGGAAAGGAAAATGAAAAATATAGATGAAATGTGAATAAAATATTCTTATATTTCATTTAATTTCACACACTTTTTTTTCTTTTTCTTTTTAAATTTCTTTCCAAATCCTCCAAGCAAACGCAACATAAAAGTTGTTGGAGGAAGACATGCATACCTGGGCATGTTTGGCTTTAACATAAGGACCATCACCACATGGAACCTTATGAATTACATGAAAGGGCTGCTGGAGCTGCAGGTGCAGCTGATCTTTTTCCTTCTTTCCTCCTGAGCTCCAACTCCCTTCCATTCTCTCTCTCTCTCTCTAACACTTCCTTCAAGAACACACAGTGGGGTGTGAGGGTGTATACCTTAGAAATGGACCATCATTGATTTAGAGAGAGAAAGCAAGGGGGCCATTTTATACAAGTAATTAGGAGAGAAGAAATGAATTTGGACGAAAACCCATCCACATTCCCTCATTTTTGGGTTTTGTCCCTCTGCTCTAATAAACCACAATAATAATGCACCTGTCACTCTTCTGCCACGTGTTAGTCCGTTGATAGATCATCCCATGATTGTCTGCTATGTGTCCTACCGGTTCATATACAACAAATTACATTTTTAACGATTAAATTTTTGGTTGCCAAAGTTCAATTTTTTAGTCATTAAAGATTTTTGCCGATTAAAATTTTTGATCGTTCATTTGGTCGTTGACTAATTGTTGGCAAAAGAATTGGCGACTAATGTTTTTTAGTCGCTGAAAGTTACCAATTAGCGACAAAAAATTTAGTCGCCCAAAAGAACATATTGTTTGGCAAGTGTCTTTTTTAGTCAAAAAGTTAAAAAATTATTAAAAAAATCAAAAAGCCAACAACTCATATAAAAAAGTCAAAAATTCTTTTTTCTCTCTACTTTTGCACATCTTTTCGTAAAAAGTCAAAAAGTCATCACAAACATACTAATTTTTTTTATATCACATTTTAGTCAAAAAGCTAAAAAGTTACTAAAAAAGCCTGTTCCCAAACGAGGCCTAGTCGCCAAAAGAAATTTTTTTTCATCTTCAGTTTTTTAGCTACCAATTTTTTAGCCACTAAAAATGTGTCGCTCTTTTTTTGTTACTAATTTTTTAGTCGCCAAAATTATGGTGCTCCTTTTTAGCTACTAATATTTTAGTCGTCAAAAATTTTCTTTCTTTTTGGTTACTAGCTGTTTAGTCGACAACAAGTTCCCTTTTTATTTTTTGGTTACTAAATGTTTAGTCGTCAAAAGCTCTAGTATTAATTTTTTTAAAATGCACAAATTGAATATTTTTTTTATTAATTTCTAAATTATATACATTCGATTATCAATGCAACATGTAACCTGTACATATACAGAATAATACATCTATCAATTATAATCTAAATCCATTATCAATAATACCTATTACATTATCAACTATCCAAAAATTTTAATTTGTAACATCATATTCCAAATATCATACAAATCCATACCAATCAAGTATAATCCATCTAAATTAAATATTACATACAAAAACACTGTATTTCCAAAACAGAGGCTTGTACAAAAATAAATGTCTTCCATATACAGAATAAATGTTCTTCGTACACCAAAATAAATAACCTGCCGCATAATAAAGCTTTTCCAAAAATAGTCTTCACTTTAATATTGAAGCATTTCAATTTGTTCTTCAATCCTACCAGATCTTTGCAATAACATGAAAATGTATACTCAAAGATTTGTTTTGAGTATTCAAGATGTCAAACTATAGGTATTAGGCTAAATGGGAAAGAGAAAACAGAAGGGAAAAAAACATTTTTTTTTATTAGGATTTGAACCCTGAAACTGATGTGCATGGGTCATACTCAAGAGCAACAGGCTCAAGGAGGGTTAGTATGGATTAGTATGTCCAAACTGCAATAAATATGATTGTTCATTCAAATAGGAGTGTTGCTACCTATAACCAATAAACCACCTACGAGCAAAATAAATTATAAGTCATTATCAACCAAAAAAAAAAAAAAATTATAGACAGGTTTTCATTATAGACAGGTTTTTTTTTTAGTAGAGTACCAATTATTTTACACAGAATGACTATTAATATTGATTCTTTAAATTCCTCTTACATTTTCACACTCTAGAAACCAATTTCCCAATAGGAAAAGAGATAAAAAAGGAGAAGAGAAAGAGATTTTACAAAATCACATAAATTCTCACAAATATACTTAAGTTGTGATTTTTAAAATTTTTATGAATTAACTTATGTATATTTGCGAAAACTTAAGCAATCTTATAAGATAACTTGTGTATATTTATGAAAACTTACATAAATACATATGGTATGCCCTTGCATACTTAAGAATTACTCTCAAATCAAACCTTATTAGTTACCCATCTAGAATTTTTTAGATGAGTGATTGTGTGGTGAAAATTAATTTATGTAGTGTGGGGTCTATGTGAAAGCTAATGCGATTTTGTGAAAACTTACGAGATCTTGTGAGGTAACTTATGTATGTTTATGACAACTTACGTAAATACATATGGTATGCACTTACCCATTTAAGAATTACCCTCTAAACAAATCTTATTAATGACCTACCAAAATTTTTGAGATGAGTGATTGTGTGGTGGAGATTAATTTATGTAGTATGGGGTCCATGTGAAAACTTATGCGATTTTATGAAAACTTAATTTTGTGAGGTAACCTACGTATATTTATAAAAACTTACGTAAATATATATGCTATGCACTTGCATACTTAAGAATCCCTTCAGTCAAACTTTATTAGCCTTCGTTTGGGATGTGGGTTGATTTTTTGACTTTTTGACTATTTTAATCTGGGGTTACAAAGCCTAGTTTGAGATGAGTTTTTTGGCTTTTTTGACTTTTGTGAGGAAAAAAATAAAATGATTGTGATTTGAATATGATATTTTATTTTATTAACTTTTTAGTTTATTTTATCTTTTTGTTACTAAAATAACCTGAAACCAACATCCTAAACATAGCCTTAGTTACCTACTCAAAATTTTTGAGATGAGTAATTATGTGATGAAAATTAATTTATGTAGTATAGAATTCATATAAAATATATGAAAAATTAATTTCTAAATAATTCCTAATTTGATAAGGATAAATTTACAATCGGATTACTCTGTTAAATTTGATTCCAGCCAACCTGCGGAGTTTGGTGACTTGGTTCCAAATTGTACGAACCTGGTCCTTAAAACTAGTCAGATTCAGTTCTAGGCATGTATGTATGTGTATATATTTTATGTTTTTTTTTTTTTTTTTTTAAATGCAGACGGCAGAAAAAATAAGATAAATAAAATTAAACATCAAAATATTTAGGGTAACTTAAAAATATAGGTTTACAGATTATTTGTTGTGATTTTAAAAATTATGAATATCCCTTTATTAAAAAAAATTATTTAACATAATTTTAAAAAATTATAATTACATTTCTATATAATAATAAAATTATTCGAGTTGTTAATTAAAATATATTTTTGACAATATTAAAAATAGTTAGTTGACTCGATGAATTATTAATAAAATGAGTTATTTATTATACAATTAGAAACTTAAAAAAAACATAATGTAATTTTAATAAAGTCTCAAGAGGTGTATTTATTAGGGCTGGACATAGGGTTATCTAAACTGCCCAATCCGAACGAATCCGCATACAAATGAGCGATTTCAAAAATACAATACGGACAGATGCGGTTTGAAATATGATATTATTGCAAATTGTGGACGGGTTGCAGGTTTTATCCGTACTCGCAAGAACCCGTCCACACTACTTTCTCTTTGATATTATTTTTTATTCTTCATTGTTGATTGTGCATCATATGCCAATTCAATTTTCCACATATATAAAGACCATAGTATAGTAACTTTGTAAGTAGGTTGTATTATGCTCAATTTTCCACATATACAGTGGATGATACGATTGGTTGTCGCCCTCGGCCATTACAACACTTGATTGTCTACTGCATAATTTTTTCATAACTGAACTTGTCTCGGATGAAATGTGAATTGGAATTTTAAATTCCTTAATGAATATGGAGTTCTGTTTACCAAAAACAGAGAATATGTTTATGTGATATTGTCTCTTACTGTAGTGCTTTGTGAAGTTTGATTCCATCCCTAATTAAGAATCTGTTTCTGTTTTGTGTTCTTATTCTTGAAAATTGAGTTGTGTTTTTATTGCATTTTAGATGAATGTAAAAGTTAATGAAAAATAACTTTTAGGTAAGTTTAAGATTTTAAATGATTTTATTTTAATTGTATTATTCGGTAGTGAATAATTTTGACGATTTAGTTTAGAATTTTGAAAGATATGCTTGTGTTAATTTATAATTTTATTTAAAAGTTTAAGATTTTGAATGATTTGCTTGTGTTAGCAATTGATTTGTTGTGTTTTTAATTTTATAAGTTTTAATTCATTAATTATTAATGTTAAGCACTTTGAAAAATGGGAAGAAAATGGACCAAAACAAATATTTATAAAACAGAAAAAAAAGGCCTAAAACTAAATTTTTAAAGAAAAAAGTTCAATCCGCAAACTGCCTGTACATCCGCGAACCCTATCCGCACAAATTGTAATCCGCACTGCGGGTGATTGCGGGTTTAATTTTTTCCAAATCACACATATGCGAGCGAGTCCAAATCGCAAACCGAACCGTCCAAAACCAAACTGTGAACACCCCTAATTTTATTAGTCTATTTATTTATATTATTTTATAATTATATCTGATTTTATATGATCATACATATTTTATGTATTTGTATATAAATTATTATAAATAATATTATTAAAAAAAAATATAGATAATAATAATAATAAATTGCGGAGGTGGCGCACAAAACCACCGCCTCCGCCCCTCCATTCCTTCCTTTCTTGTATATATATTATTATTTATTTGTTTGTTTTGCTTTGCAGGTTGGTATCAACAATCACCCACTCGACCCCACTTGATTTGCCGATGAATTGACAAATGGGGATGGCACTGCATTGTTGCTGCATTTGGATATTTCAAGAGTGTTGTGATACATGAACGAAGAAGAACACTTATGATTAAAAAGGAACATTATGTCTAATTGGTTGCTGAAGCTTATCTGATTTGGTTCAAGACGTCCAAGTTTCATTTTTTATGAAAGCAAAATATACGTTTTGGACAAAAGTAGTCAATCCAATTGTACCAAACCTTGATGTACTGGATAGAATTTCATGGCCGCATGTGCTGGAAACTTGGGAAGTGAAGACGATGGCTTAGGGAAGTAACAAATAAATGGTTTTCATTGTTTTGATTTGAATATAGTTGTATAACTCTCAGTTTATTTTGTGTAATAAATATTTTATTTAAATAATGCTA